AATGTCCCCTGTGCTCTCTTACTTGTCCTCATAAGCTATGAGTCTGACAAACCGGATGCCATGGCTTATTAATTCCTCAACTGACACTGACAACCAAACTCTGTCATTTAGCTGAAAATATTGGCCGTCACAGATTTAGAGGTTTGGAGACTGAACTTCCAAGACAGAATGTGAGATGTTGCTTTCTATCACCTACTGCAAGATAACTGGTGCTCGGTTCCTAACCTGGTCTTACCTATCATCAGCAAAGCCATCGCTTTGATCAGCTATGGGAATGTGACTCATTTTCCCTTCATCCCAGTCCCTCATCATGTGATGCAATCACCTAGCAAGAGACTCTCCTCAGCTGGAATAACAATTGAACACAGGCTCTACCTGCCATATACATTCTTCAAGGCGACTCCAACATATTCCAAGGCAACGACACTGTTGAAAATAGAAAACGAAACAAAGAAGGCCCCGCTGGGATTCGAACCCAGGATCTCCTGTTTACTAGACAGGCGCTTTGACCAGCTAAGCCACGGAGCCCCTTTTTGCATTTATGTTCAGTTATATCATATTTATACCATTTTCTGTGAAATGTAGCAATTTGTCAGAAATTCATTTGATTTTGTGACAAAGAGAAGATATCTGTGTTTCTGAGCTTTTACTAAAACAGAAACTTCAACATTTAAAAAATGCATTCTTCAATGCAAGGTTTTAAAAATTTCAAATTAAAAAAAAAAAATGGGTTACATTCCTATTTTGTGGCGACTATCGCCATCTAGGGGAAATATTGGATATTGCAGCACCTTTTAATTTTGTTTCTGCTTTAATTCATTCATTTTGTCCACAAATGTTGAGTAGGTAATGTATGTCAGGTACTTTTCTAGGTATCGAAGATAGAACAGTGAACAACAAACAAACAAACTTTCCTTCCTTATAGAATTTGTATTCTAGAGGGCGGTCAAGAAAACAAGTGTAAACAATTTGCCCTAACACCTACCCCCCCACCCCCCAAACAGTGAGAACTAATCCCACTACCACCAGGTTACAAACCCACAGTGCTACCTTCTGAGTTAATTTATTGCATTTGAACAAGACTATTATGCTTCCTTCCATTTTATCTAATTTGGCCGAGATGAGGATACGCTGATGCAGAGATTTTCGGCCACCCAGCTTCCAACTTGCCCAAACCAGGCAATGTCAGGCCCTTTCTTTCAAAGACGGTTTGGAGCCCCGCACGATGTGTTTGTTGCTCAGCGCGGAGTTCCGCAGGAGGAAACGACTTTAGGCACAGTCTGGTTCTGTTCATTGACCTGCTGGGTTAAAACTGACTTGATCTCTGTCTTCATCAAGACAGAAAAACTGAGTGGAGGGTACTGAGAAGTCAGGAGAAAACTGGGGTACAATGTGATAACTAACCCCCGCCCCCCCCAGGATGCCCGTGGGATCTGGGCTTGGCACAGGGAGGGGCTTAGTCCAGTCACATGACCTCTCCTCTGACAAGTTCTGCCGCAGGTGTTGGAAAAGCAGAAGGGGTCGTGGCGGGCGTAGCCTGAATGCAGCTTAGCGTGGAAGAGCAGGTGGGACCATCATCCTGCGGTGTTTAGATACCCACTTTGTGCTCTATGAGTGGTGACGACTACGCATTCACTGGGCAGCCACAGAGGGCAAGACTCTGGCGGGGTGAGAAAGCACGTGGGAGATTTCCTTGGGACAGATCCTCTGTTACCTGCTTTCCTCTGGACATCTCCGGCTTTTCCAGTCTACCCTGTATCTGACCTATTTGCCTTTTTTTTTTTTTTTAAAGATATTTATTTTTTGAGAGAGAGAGAATGACAGAGAGAGAGCATGAGAGGGTGGAGGGTCAGAGGGAGAAGCAGACTCCCCGCGAGGCAGGGAGCCCGATGCGGGACTCGATCCTGGGACTCCAGGATCATGACCTGAGCCGAAGGCAGTCTCCTAACCAACTGAGCCACCCAGGCGCCCCTATTTGCCTTTTCTTACAACACTTCAAGGTTTATGCATTCCCTTTGTCCCGAGGTCCTGCTGCCACGCCTCTCCTTATATAAGCTAAGTTGTTTATTGTACATCATTTCAATATGTATTTTTTGTAAAGTTGACATTGTGTGTACATATATAATAAATTTACATAAATGGTATATTATATATTTTTGTGTCTTTTAAAAACATCATGACTTTAAGATCCATCAAAATTGCCCTGTGTCTACCTGAATCGTGGCTTCTAACCACTATATACAATGCCTTGGTGGGCACTCACGATGTGTTTCCTCTCTTCTGTCCCAGTGGCGGACTCACAGGTTGCCTCCACTGTCCCCCGAGTCCAAATTACACCACCTTTCCTCCACCCCCTTTATGTCCGTGTTTGAGAATTTCATTGGGTTGTAGGAGCAGAATGACTAACTAATCCCAGTCTATTCTCCAGTCCACACTCCACCAGCTGTGCATGCCCCATTATTCTTGTCCACGCTCGACACTATTCAGCTTTCTACTTTGTAATCTAATATGCATAGCGTAATGAATCTCATCATTGTTTTTTTTTTAAATTTGCATTTATGCCTTCTAAAGATTCTGAGCATCGGTTTATATGTTAGCTACTGGCCCTGCATCTTAGGACATTGACTCTTTTCTTATAATTTGCCTATGTTCTTATTGAGGTTGGTGTGTCTTTCACATTGATGCACGGGGCAGGGGGGGGGATACTGTGTATTGTGGTTATTGGGCTACTGTGAATTTTAGATCTTGCAAAATCATCTCCCAATGTGTTACCTGTCTGTTGACTTGTCAGTGTAGGAACTTAATGACAGATCCTTGATTTTGTTAAGGATTTCTCTTCCCCCCACCCCATGGTTTGTATTTTTGAGGTTATGCTTCAGAGGTCTTTCTCTGTTACTAAGTTAAAAAATGTCCTCTCTAAAAAAACAAAAGATGTGTAGATTTTCTTTTTCAGATTTGAGACGTTGGTCCATCTAGTACTCTAGATAAGTGTACTGGTTTTTTATATGACAATCTATTAGAACTGTGTCTTCTGGTTCTCAAAGCTTTGGTTTGGTAAGGGTCTCCAAGATGTGGGATTGCTTGTGTGGTGTCCTTTATCTTAGCCTCTTCATATTTTCATGCAATTAGGTATTTAATAAAATCATGCATTTTTCCTGTTAGAATATTTATCTGCAAGGTCAGGAAGAATCCAGTTATTTCCTAGTACCCTGTACACGTCATAGCATGGGAAGAATATATTTTAATAAAACAATTGTTTGAATTATATTTTATGAATTTCCCATCAGATAATCTTCCATAGATTTTTTTGTTTATGTTCTTGTAATCCTGGGCCTATGTTTCACGGGCCTGTAAGGTCAACCCTAGGTTTCCCAAACTGTTCTTACAAGAAAAAGCTACGAGAATACAGATTCTAAGTTGCTGGGATGCACGAGTGGGCAAGATGCTGAACTTAAAGTTTGCATGAGTCTAATCCTTGCTTGTGGCAAATAATCTTCCCATTTGTCCTCTTCAATAGGAACTGGAAACCCCTCTTGTTGGTTCCAGAAAACCTATGCATTTCTATTTTGCACTCAGGAAATTTGCTTATATTTCTCTCTCCTAGAATCCTGCACCTTACCACCAGAGTTTGGGAAACTAATCCTACAAGGCAGTGTTTACTAGGTACATGATTGGATCTTTCTACCATGGTCTTAGCCTACCATGGATTTGGCATAACTGCCCAAGTCCATCAGTTTCTAAGTCTACTGGAATTTTATCCTAAGCTAAAATGTGAAGTGAGAAGACCTCGGGCGACACAGAAGGACTGTGTGGCCCACAAACAACCTCCTCGGCCTAGTGGTGCTCACCAGTGACTTGACTTTCACCTCCTAACTCTTCCCTGAGGCTCTGGAGAGCAGGGCCCAGAGTTTGAAGGAGACCCTCAGACCCATACTGTGTCCCAGGAAGGAGGAAACAGAGACTGTGTAAGTGAGCTAAAATTTCTCTTCTATGCTTTTAGGGTTTCTGGCTGGGCCTAAGAATTAAACGGACATGAAACAGATTAATAAGAAAAAAACACACACATTTCAGGAAGTCAGTTTTACATGGACGTGGGGGCCCTCACAAGAAGAAAAAGGCTCCAAGAAGCAGAGCCCCTGGCCTACATACTAGGTTGGGCCAACGGTGTGAAAATGGGACAAGACAAAGGGGTTGTGGGGAGGGCAGTTAACCGTGGCCAAGTGACTAGGAAGATAAGGGTTAGTTTAACCGGGGTTTTGGTCCAGCTTTCTCTTGGCCTGGACGCCCTGGCTCTGGCGATAAGAAGGCTTCCTTCCTCCGGGGGCAGGGAGGGGCTCCCTTACGGGGTATTCTACGCCTTGCTTTCAGGAAGAAAAAGGAAGGTCAAGAGTTCTCTTTCTTCCACCTGCTGTTTTTCAAGTGCCTTTAACTCAAAATAAGCAATATGCCAGCGATGCGTATTTTGGGGTGGCATGCTCTGAACCCCGAGAGTTGAAAACATGTATGTGTGTCCCATCATGATGCATAAACGTCCTAAGCTTAACCCCAGCTCTGACCCAGTCGCAAATAAAGGTCAGGACAGTGCTGCTCGCTTGGTTTGTAATTTCCTCGACCTGAGGACGCGTTCGCCGCGCAGCCGGTACTCGCGGGGACGTCGGGGGAGGGTGCGTGCCCGCGGGGGTTCCAACCCGCAGCACCTGCACGGGGCGTGGCGCGTGCGAGGCGCCCCAAATACCTGGTTTCGCCGAGGGCGTGAACGCGGGGCGGTCCGGAAGTGTTCAAAGGGCGCGCGTCCAGACGGCCGCTTTACCGAGGTTTTCCTCGCGCGTCCACGGATGCCTCGGCTTGAGGCGCTTCAGGCTCGTGCGCGCGCCCGGAGCGCCGTGAACAATCCCCGGCGCCGAGACAATCGCCTTTCGGGGCGATACTTAGAGGCATTTTTCGACGTGTTTGTCCGGCAACTTTTGTATTCGCGGACAGGCGGGCGCTCGGCAGCTCGCGGTTCCATAGTGTAGTGGTTATCACGTCTGCTTTACACGCAGAAGGTCCTGGGTTCGATCCCCAGTGGAACCAGCGGCGCCGCGCTCTCTTTTCCGCCGCGGCTCGAAGGCGAGCGGCGGGGTTGCTTCGGGTTTCATTTCCAGTGCTTTCCCCCCACCCGCACCCCCCGCTTTTTTTAAGTCAAGGCTTTCTGAGAGCGCTGAGACACACAGGCTTGCTCCGGTCAGGAGATGCTCCCTCCTCCGCCGCTCAGCGGCGGGCTGTCGTCACGGAACAGGCTTGCTCCTGCCGCGTGCAGCCACCGGCAGGGTCCGAGGGACGCCTGCGTGCTCGAGACGCGGCCCTGCAGGACTTGCCACGACTGTCCGCCCGGGCGCGGGGCGCGGATGGGGTGCCGGGCCGGGGGTCGGGACGCAGCGCAGGGGCCCGGCCTGGGGGCGCTGCGCTGGAGACAGGGCGCATCTGCCAAGACCTGGGCCGCCCACACTGAGCCTTCCCCGCCCAGGGAACCGTGCCGTCGAAGGGCCCGAGCTGCCAGTCACCTTTGCAGTATCCTGCTCTTGGCTGGGAATAGAAAAGTCAGAATTGTCACATATTTGAAGACTGTATTACAGCAAGGTACGAAAAACACAGAAACAAGAAGCAACTTGAGGGATAAGGGCTAGGTCGATGGAACAATGCTGAGAATACACTGAGGTACTCAGAGAGGTGGGACACGGCGTTGGATACCCAAACAACAGGTGTATCTCTCTACGCAAGGAAAGAGGCTCCTGTAAAACAAAAATATATGATCAGAAATGAAAGATTCAACAAGTAGATCAGAAAGTGTGGGATATTCTGGAATATCAAGCAAAAACATAGTGCTGAAGGAGAGAGAAAAATTATACTTGAGGAAAAGATGAGGCTGTGTTATAGCTAAATATTACTTCTAAAAATAAATAATAGGGAAAATGCAAGGAAGATAAACTTCGAAAAATCAGGTACATATCACAACCCTAAAAAAAAAAAAAAACCTTCTAGGCAGTCAGGGATCACTGAATATTCAGTCGAAAGGATAAAAATAGTCCGATCCTTGACTACCGAGCAAACAGAAAAGAACATAAAATCTTCTGGGTGTGTTTTGGGGGGAACACAAGTCACAAAAAGGATCAGTTAACAGAACAGCTGATTTTTCAAGGTTGACATTGAAAGCTAGAAGACAATGAAGCAATGGTTTCCAATCTCAAAGAAGATGAAATCCACCCTAGATTCAATGTGAAACCCGAGTATCCATCAAGTATGAACATAAAAGAGAGACATTTTCAAATGTACTTGGCTTTGTAAAGTTTACCTTTAGTACTCCCTTCCCCAGGATCTCTGTAAAAATGAAATGTCAGTTGAGAAATAGGGAGACTTGAGACACAGAAAGTATGAGATATAAATACAGCATAAGAGACGAGCAAGGGATGGGCCAAGATGACAGGAGCCTCATTTATTCACAGGGAGCCAGACTGCAAGAGGTCAAGAATGTCTGGGGAAGACAAACTCAAGGAGATGAAAAGTGGAGAGCAACTTGGATGTGGGTAGACATTCTCAAAAGAGATTTCAATAACTGGGGGATGAATTTGGGGTTGAAATAAGATCTATTGAAAACTGTGCAAATAAAAATAACATTACTCACCCCACGTGGGAGGAGAATTCATAGTCTGTTAGGACGATTTAAAATTGGAAAGGAATAGATAAGGAATAAAAAGGAATAAATAAGGAACCATTAGTTGCAGATGATATGATATCTATAGAGAAAACAGAGAATCGATAGGTGTTTAAAATCAATAAATGAGTTTAGCACATTTGCTAGATACTGTTCATAATTTTAATTCAGAAGCATATAGAGAATAAGGCTTGAAAAATTATACCTAAGAATTAATCTGACAAATTATGTATGATATTTACACAGGAAGAATTATGAAATATGGAAAGATCAAAAACTGCTCAAGTAAATATAGAGATACACCATGTTAATGAGAGCAAGAGCTTTATAAAATAATGCAAAGTGTCTTTAAAATTATAATATATATTAAGTGAGAGTTCAATCAGAATTCCAACAGATTCTAATACTGGGAAGGACTAGAGAGTTTGGCAAGCTAAATCATTTTTAAAAAGAAGAAAAAGATAGTAGAACTGCTTTCTCTCTCTCTTTTTTAAAGATTTTTAAAATTTATTTATTTGAGAGAGAGCAAACATGAGCAGGGTGAGAGGCAGAGGGAGAAGCAGACTCCCCGCTGAGCAGGGAGCCTGATGCAGGACTCGATCCCAGGACCTGGGGATCATGACCTGAGTGGAAGGCAGATGCTTAACTGACTGAGCCACCCAGGTGCCCTGAACTGCTTCCTCTTGTAAATATTACAGGTGCTGCAAAGGATAATGAATATATATGGTATTTTTGCAGAGGTATATAAGTAAACCAATGGAACAGAATGGATGGCGCAATATAGACCAAAGCAAATAATGAAACCATCGTATCTGACCCAGGTGGCAGGACGGGGCAGAGGGCAATGTCAACTATTCATTAAGTAAGCGTGGACTCAATTATCCATATTCGGGGAAAAAATCCGTACTTTAAAATATACATAAAAATGAATTACAGGCAGCTCACAGGCTGAAATGTGAAAAGCAAAGATTTTAGATATTTTAGCTAAAGCAGTGGAGGAGAATTGCTAAAAACTCTTTCTCAGCCTTGGGTCTACCAAGAGCCATGAGGGAGATGCCACGTGAGTCACCCCTTCTGTCTCTTCTCATTAAGACTGCTGTACCTGATCTGCTCCGATCTGCCCCCCTCCTCTTCCAACCTCTGTCCTTAGGAGTCTGTCCTGCCCTGGGCCTCACACTTCAAGGGAAGACTAAGAAGGCCGTAAGAAGGACACAGAGCAGTAAGAAGGCCTCTGGAGGCCTGTGGAGGTTCAGATCCAAATTTTATTCCTTAACCAAGTGTAGGGCTGCTTCTGAATCTTGTTGCTGGGAGCCGGGACCTTCTGCTCGCCACCTGGCTCATCCCACGGCCAGCTTTCTCTCCTGAGGTTCTTTGTGAGGTCCTGGAGGAAAAGCCCCTCGTGTCTCCTGCTGAAAAGCTTTCCAAAATACGAGCAGCCAGGCTGGCATAAAGGAGATGCTAGAATGGTCCCAGTACGGACAGATCGCTGCACACTGGGGAGAAATGAATACGCCAAGCCCCCGCCTAGTGTGCTAGTCCAGAGGGACTTCTGCTCATAGTAAAAGAAAGTTTCTTGGACGTCAGTCTTTCCTTTTCCCGATTCCCTGACTTGTGGCCTTCTTCCTACCATCTGCCTTTCTCCAAGACCTCTCTCTGTGCCTTCCCCAAATTGATAGCCTATTATTGGCAAACATTTTGGCGATGATCAGCTTTAGAAATAGACTAGCTGAAATCTTGAAGTAAGCCTTAATCCTGAGGATGGACAAAACTCTGCCTGCCATGGTGGGAATGAGCTCATTACCATGAAAACAGCACAAGATTGCAGTCATTTAAAAAAGATGCTGAGTTTTGCGTGGGTGTTTGCAACATCACTGCTTCACAAAGGCCCTCGGCCACAGAAGTAGCAGTGAGATTTACTTTTTTAACAATAACAACAATGGCTTATTTGATCATGTTTTTGGTTTGTAGCTCAGTAAGCTAGTGCCATCATGCATATTAGGCCCTTAAGTCTTTAGAACAGTTGTAAAAAGTGGTCATTCTCATTAGCATCTCCTGAGAGATGAGGATGATGAGGCACAGAGAAATTTAAAAACCAGATCATGAATGCCAGAGAGGAGGGCAGTTTTCTCTTTGCAAAGGTTGTCAGCAGGTTGTGTAGGATGCTCCCAGACTGATACTCATGCACTCATGAAAGGATACCTGGAAAATCAAAGTTTTTGTCACATAACTCCCCTGCTCAGTTTGTACCAGATTGGCTGATGCTTATTCAAAGCTACACAATATACTCATGAGCCAGAGACCTTGATACATCTAATGTAGACATGTACTTGGCGCCAAGTACCATTTGGTACATGCCAAGCAAGCTCTTTTTTGAGCAAATCCAGAGTATTGGTCTTCTTTACCCCCTCACTCACCTGGTGCTACAGGTTAATTCAGTGCCAGATTTAGGACCCTAACCCTGTTACGAAGAGGTAGCCTCTGGGCCATAGTCTGTGACTTCCTGCGACTCAGGCCAGGAAGAACGGAAGAAAATGTGTGCAAGATTCAGGGGTTTGCCTCTGTTCGAAATCAGACTTTCCTTGTTCCCTGGTGGCAGAAGAATCGACAGGAACTGGTCCTCCTGGGTCAATACATACCTGATTCCTGTCCTCACCCATGGAAAACCGAGTAGAAATAACACACATGAAAGAGCAGATGTGATACAGGTGACCACGGATGACACTGTGAGTGGAATGAAACCTCTGGGGCCACCAGAGGGATGACATCCAAAGTATAAGCCACTTCAGCCCAGTTACAATATCTCTGAAGGTTTGCTGGTGCGAGTTTCAGAATCTGTGTCAGACGGTTGGGGGAGGAATGGGGGCTAGTTCAGCCTTAAGAAGGGAAGGCTTTTGGAAATGGAAGATCTTCAGGCAGAAGACAGTCATTGTGGGGCCTTCAATATCTGCAGGCCCAGGGGGAGATGAGAAGCAGCTTGTGCGTTGTCAGAGCGCTGTGCCCTGGGAGAAGCAGGCTTCTGGAAGTTCCGTGGGGGTCTGCTTGTCTGTCCCCTTCCAGCCCCCTCCCACCTCACGTCGGCTCTCCTCTACAGCCACCTTACCCGGTCCACCTGCCCCTTTCGAAATCGCTCTGGAAGCTGAAGAGGCTAGATATGCTTCTGAGCCATAATGTTTCCCCCAAAAGTTCTTCCCATTTTCTCCAGAGGGTCGCAATTTCTCCGCACCGGCCCAGCCCCGACGGGTGGCCTGCGCGGTCCGTGTGCTAGGAAAGATTGCCACAATCAACCTGGGCGCGCATTCCCTGGCGCTAAAGGGAAAGGACTTCTAGGTCCCTTTCTGTCACCTCACGTTCTTCTTGGGGCTTCCAGGCGGTGCCAACAGGACCGTGGGACTCGGGACGGGCTGCTGAGCGAAGCAGCCCCACGAGCGCGCGGGCAGGGGCTGAAGGGCGTCTCTGGCTCGGCGGACGCGCGCGGGAAAAGGCGGAGGCGCGCCGAGGGGCCCGAGACTCCTGCCGTGACTCGGATTCGAACCGAGGTTCCTCTTCTTGACCACTGTACGAT